TCATGGCTTCATCGATGCATGGGGATAACGGGCCAGACATGGCGAAGATTTGGTTGGAGTATCCAACCGGAATCATTAGTTGGTGTGAATAAGCTTCACGCTCAGCAGTTTCTAGGGGTTCAGGAACCCTTCGTTGGCCTGTAGGGGTAACTATGGGGACAGTTGAGAAGATTTTAGGTTTAGCATTTCTGGAAGGAATGTTAGAACTAGGAGCGTTGGAGGAACCTGAGGCCATTGTTGAGTTAAGGTTGAAGGTGAAGTGAAGAACAAAGTGTTTGCAAGTTTGCAGAGATTTTGTGTTCAACAAGGAAGTTTGAATGCAGAATAGCGTGAAAAAGTCCCACAATGGGTACTTAGCGCTATTTATAGTGGTTGGGAAATCCCCAAATTCGAGGCCATTTAATGTTGCAGAAGATAGTGGGACACGTGGCGTCCCCCTGTTGACATAGTCGTTCTGCAGAAATGAAAAGGTGCAGCGTGCGCCCTCGTTTTTGGGAAATTATCATGATGACAATTTGTGAAAAGACATTGGGCACGCTAAACGCCATACTGAGGTGACGTCTTAGGTACGGATGAAATGATGGCTTTTTCTTGGGATTGTCAGTGGTTGGTAGAAGACAAAAAGTGCGCAGGTTAATTTGTGGCTAAGGATGAAAGACAGGTGTCGAATGGAATCTCAAAGAATGCCTTTTTCTTTTCAGCGTCGAAATAAGGCATTCTTGGGGGGCAATTTGTTGGCTCCTAAATTCGACACCCTTGTTTTTATTAATATATGCCATTAAAGCTGAAGGATGGTTTCGACCAGCTGGTTCTGTCGAAATGCTCGTCAGAAGATGGCAATGTACTTAGAGAATTTCTTCTAAGTAGGAATCTTGTTGCCTTCGACGTCGAAGGTGCTTCTCGACAAAGGCGTTCGATTGCTCAGAGTGGAACGGTTTGAGATTCAAACGTTTGGAGGGAAAACGGTTCCCAGCGGTTACCAAGTGCAACATGCCAAGATCTGGAGCGTCGAACGCTGTGAACGTGCCAAGTGGAGTCATCTCGAAGCAGCGTAACTGCCCGACGGTTACTTGGGATGTGTTTAGTATAAATATTAGTAGTTCACGCAGTTTTTCGCGTGTGTTCACAATTATATACAAGTTACTCATATAGATTCGAGTACCCAGCGTGAGAGAAAGAATTGTTGAGAATGTATGTGTGAAACACCACTTTAATTAATCAAAGTCATTTATTTTCCAGAACTTTATTGCTTTTCATTTACTTTTCCAGTCGAAGCCTTCATTTCAAGCCTTCCTTTATTCTACCAAGTTTTCTTCTTCATGCAATTTACATAAAGCTTCTTTGTTTTCTTGTCATTTAACCATTATCAAACTTAGTCAAAACCCCAAAATCAACCATGTCTTAGGATCAATCTGATCGATCCTGCGAGTCACCAAATAAGTAACCTTTTGGAAGATCAGCGGTTGTTTACCAATTCCCACGGTAAACAAAGAGATGGAGAGTCAAATGGGCCATTGGGTCGATGATAAAGAAGGAATGGAAGTACAAAAGGAACATTCTATGTAATAGGGTTAAAATGGGTTTCCAATGAGAAATACGCAAAAAGCGCTTCCACTCAAAAGTATAAAGTGAAGCTTATCAAAACCCGGAGTAGACGTAGAAAGAAAAGCTCAGTTTAGCTTTCGGTTGAAGATGAAGAATGGTAGGGGAAAACGACATGTATGCAGGTAAATATGTAGCTATCAATGTTCAAGTATTGGTTATTTTGTTCATGGAATCCATAATGTGTTTGTTAGAAGTTACATTGGTTATGAGTAATATCTCTACATGATGAATATTGTTGCAGATCTGCTTCAGAGAATTCGTTGTTGGTTCAACGCCAAAAGATCGAAAAAAGTATAACAAATATGTTGAATCTTCATGTAAATTTCACCAACAAACTGGTATAAAGATGGATATCGTTAGTTTTAAAGAATATTATTCTCTGTCCGAAATACATCTTGATTCTCCATCAAAAGGGAAAGGTTCCAATGAACCCCAACTGATAGGAAGCAAATGTGATGTTAAAGGGAAAGGGATTAATAATAGTTCAGTAGGCGTCAAAGGGACAACAAACTCTGGGAAAGTTTTGTTTTTGAAATTAATATATTTTAAAAGGCATGCATGCTATTAAATGTAGGTGTTTTTTCTTGGTTTATAACTAATTTTTGTATATATTGTTGTTGTCATGATAATAATGTTGCAAAATGTTATGTATATATTATTGACATACAATCCTGATAATAAGGTTATACAAATATAATTTATGTAGGTTTTCGATTGGAAGTTCTGTAAGTGTAGAGTTCTTAGTCCATTGTGGCTGATTTTTTTAGCAGAATTATAGAATACTAATACAACGGAACCCAATCATATTGTTGTGTTATTTTATATGATGTGGGTTTGTTTGAAAAGTTTAATTATATTGAAAATGCGTAAATAATGTGGTATATGTTGAAGTTTTCAAGTATATTTAGAAGGATAAAATGTATTGGATAAGATGTATGGAAAAAATAGACTAAGATTAGTTTTGAATATATTTGGTTTAATGGTTGAATCAGGAAATTTAATCCAATATATATGGAAGAAAACGAAGAAAACTGGAGCAAGGTTGTATCTAATGCTAAGGTTATGAGTATGAATGTGTTGGTAAGTAATAGAAGTTAATTGTTGCAGTGGTATGTATAATTTTTTCAGGGTTGAATCTCGTCTAATTTAACTATACGTTTTGTAGCAACTACCGCGCGAAGTGATTAAGAAGTCCCTAAGTGGACCGGCCAGCTTGATTGTGTTATATGATTCAGACAAGAGTATCTTATAAACATTTGTATTGAAAGTGAGAAATGATGAAAAAGGCGAGAAGTATATTACTACTGGGTGGTATGAGTTTTCTAAACAGGAAAAGTTAAAGAAAAGAGACATTCTGCATTCGATATCCGCTGGCTGATCAAATATTGGTTTATGCTGAGCCGGGAAAGAAGAGACACTGAAACATATTGTGTTGGCTATGTAATGGAAAAGAAGGATTAGTTGTTTGTGTAGTTTGTTTATGTTTATTTCATGTTTTTAATTTTGTAAGGTTTGAACAGTTGGTATGATTTAGGTCAAGCATTTAGCAATAGTTGAATTAGAAAGATTTTTGAAATGTTCATATGCAGCAGAAAAAGAAGTTGATGCATTCGATGTAATCATTGAAATAGAAGGTGGTATAGATGATGGACATTTCGTTGTTGAATTCAAACGACGATGAGAATTTATGCGTGCTTTTAAAATGACTCTCCTCCTATGTCTGGAAATGGATGATTGAGTGGGATTGGTTGGAACATAATCGGGTAGCATGGCTTCAGGACAAGTAATGTACAAAATAAGTGGTTAAGAGATGTTGGTATTTATGAAGAAATAACAGATAGCACGGGTAAAACAATAGATAATGTGTAACAAAATACCGTGCATATAAAACTCTGCAAAAAATACAGAACAACACAAGATTGCAGTTTCAGAATGAGGAGGCAATGAATGTTTCAAAATGATATCACCGTATAAACTCCATGTAATGTTGGTACTGACTATTGTAGTGTGGAAAGTAGGAATATAAGTATAATATAACTGAACTGGTATCAAAATCCAAAATGTTAGAAGTTATGAATTTTAGTGGATAGGGTAGTTATTAAAATTTGATAAATGTATTAATAAGTGTATTAATGTGTGCAGTATTTCACATGAGGGGAAACACATTACTGCATATGTATATATAATAAAAATTGGATAATGATGTTGTGTTATTCAACGTGACTTACATATTTAGTAAAAACAGATTTAATAGTACCTACATATACCATTTTATTAAATTTGTTGTTTGGTCAAAGGAGATGGCATATGTGATTAACATTATAGGAGATGGTCAATGGAGTTATTGTAATCGGAGGTGTATCTAGATTGAGTGGTATATGAAGGTGTATACCACTTTTTCATTGAATAAAAATATATTCCATCGCAATGATACATTGAATCACAAGTCACATGTAACCACATGTCCATGACATTAGCTGTAATAAGATTGCCTAATCTATCAACATCAAAGACAGATGACAAATGTGATTGAATTTAAATGTATACCGTTTACGATGGATTTGTTGCCCTATCAATATTAGTCATGTCTAAATTCCATGTGAGATTCAGCTCAGAACATTTCAGTTGCAAATGATATATAAAACTCAGACAAGGATACCAACGGCAAAAAAGAAACATAATCTAACTTGTTTGTTTTTCATATACAACAACATGTAACACCGTGATAATTATAGAACAGGTCCATGACATTATTTGCAATGAGGTGACCTAATGTACTTACAACTACGAAAAATTACAAATATAGTCAATATAATTTACATGAATATTAGAGTAACATAATTATCCTAAATTCTACCATACGACTCCAAATAGTGTAAGGGTTTTCCAATAGATGCAAATCTCCACAAGCGTCTTGGATGAGATACATACGGATTTGGCAGGGAAAACCTATAACAGAATATGAGTTTACTTACTAGCCAGCAATGCAGATGTTGGAAGTGTTGTGTAAATGCTGCTAATTTCCTGAAGCCTTTTTGAAGAGGGTTCTCTGCATATGTTGGCATAAAGCCATGTCTAAAATTGACTTTACTGTTATGTCGGAGTATGTAGATTCAAAACAATGGATTAACACCTGCTACTCCATAGGAGTGACAATAGAGTAATAAATTCCTAATATTTTAAAGTGAAATTATGTAAACATGATCATTCAAAAGAAACACACTGATGCAGGAAATTGTGTATTAACATTAAGTTAGCATAACTTAATGGAACACATGTCTAATTTTACAAATACAAATCGAAAAGGCAAACAAATATAAAAAGGAAAGAGCGATAATTGTCAACACAAAGTCAAACTAAAACCAACAAAGACACATGACAAAATACTTCCACGACTAATCACTCTTCTCCAACTTGATTGTCTTCTTAAGATTGTTAGAAGAGAGCTCTCCATCATAGAAGCTTTCCAAGGTTGTTGATTCACTTGAACCCCTTGGAAAATATCTCTTACCAATAGGCGTCATTGGATCCGGTTTATGCTTAGAGGTGATCTCGAGATCCTGTTACACAATAAATGAGACAAAAGGTTTTATTTTATACCATTCAGATAACATAAACTTATGCAGAAACTGGGAGGGAGTCATAGATTACCGTTTCCTTACACATTCTTCAGGCGCACTCGTCTTAGCCTCATCCACACTCTCTTTAATCTAAGCATAATATAACATTAATCATTATATGTAATATAACCATATAACAACAACTATAATAAAACAAATGAACAACCAAAAACTGCAATAGGGTAAATACCTGAAGAGAATCAGATGTTATGGAGGGGACTAGAACAACTTCCTTTTTGCGGCAAACAAAGTATCATCAGAAAAAACATGTAATACCCAAATAAACAAACAACCTAAAATACCAAAACCCTGTTAAGAAGATTATACTTCATTTATGTCCCATGGAGCCTTAAGCTTCCTGATAAAAGGCTCATCCCTAAGGATCCTCATGACAGAGCAATTCTTCCAACGTGGTTTCCACTTTACCTTAAATTCCATCTCCAAGTTCAACAACTGATCAGTGCCAATGGGAATTCCAATGGATCATCAATTCCAGCCTATATAACAAACCTCAACAATGAGTACTAATACATTACAAAATGCATATACTAAGGTGTGGGAAATAAAACACTAAACCTTGATCATAGTATGACATAGTTGGGCAATAGATAAACCCAGAAGAAGCTCACATTCTCTATTCCAAAACACAAAGTTACAACTATTGCCACTGCGGAAAATCCGAATCTCTATCTTGTACCTACAATGTCATGATTAACTGGTATAAGAAATATGCTGACATAAATACATAAAAATAGCTTTCACGACCACTACATATATTAAATGACAAGTAATAAGACCTAAAGATTTCAGCCTCAGTTGAATGACCAACATCACAATCAAATGGAGCAGTGTCACCATGTGAAACGCAAGGACACAAATGGAAGGTACGGTAACACCACCCAAACTGAGATGCCACCAGAATCCTTGTTTTAGCAACAATGGCGCAAAATATGATATGCATCAAAAGTTCATGACATGAATCTCAAATGACAAAAAAGAAGTGACCAACACAAATGAATAAAATATAATAGCAGCAACCAAATTGTATCATACAACACGGAGTTTGATTATTTCACCAAGAGGTAAAATAATAGTACTTGAGAGTAACCTCTGAGCAGGGCTGAGTTATGTTTTTTCAGAATTCTACGATGAGAGTTTTGAACCTGAACCCATCTGTCCGGAGACAGTAACGATAGAGTCCTTAGGCATGATGCATGAATAAGTGAATTAAAAAAATATTCACGCAACAACACGAGAAATCCAACATATCAATGGATACCATCAATTTGATACAGAGAAAATACTAGTATATGAAATCTTTGATAGGAGGAAAACCAGCATCGAGGCAGAGCCGCGTGACATTGTAGGTGTTTGTGACCGACAGCGGAAACTTCCCTACATAAAAAAAAAACAGGACGCAAGTCTGAGTGGCCAAAAATAAATAGTTTTGTGATAATAGAATAAACCAACCAACCCTCTTGTTTGACTTTTGCATACTGCAGCAACAACACAGTTGGACCAGAGCTATTGCCACGATCCTGTGTGAATTTGATAAACTGGTCGGCATACAATTCCCAAAGAGTATAATTCAGAGTGTTGTTGCTAAATAATGAATACACAATAGTCGGTCAACAAAAGAAATTTAAGATGCATTTCATATGATATATGATATAACAACAACAACGAAAGCACTGGATTACATACTTGCGGTCCCTTAACATCATATTAACCTGCTATTTTTTTGAACCGGACTACGTCTGTGAATACCCAATACCCTCAACCATTCCAATTACATCTGGGGAAAAAAACATCTGCATAAGAGAAAAATAATATATAGAATTCAAATGCGCGACCAAAAGGTTAATAAAATGTTACATTTTTTACCTATCAGCACATCCTTGTTATAATTGTCGCTGATTATATCAGAAAAACCAGTAAACACCAACAGTTTCACAGGTATCTCATGTTTGTTATCATCCCCAACAGATGTACCTCCCGTAAACTTGAGCATAAATTTGTGCGCCGAAGGTCTAAAAGCTGACACATTCGATCGAGCCTTAAAGTTGGCTACAATATAAGTATGGCCCAACAACAATTTTTCATCAAAATCAGACTTATGTGCTCCCGAGACAATATTATGTATATCATCGCCCTGCAATGCACACAAAAATAACAGAATTTCAGAAAACCAACCATTTACTACACAATGCACACAAAAATCTATAATAACAATAGAATATGCCACAGAAATTGTATAAAAAACATAATAAAGAAAAACCACCATGAAGATGAAGCAGACGCAGAGAAAACAAATTTTATCGCTTTGTCCACAAAAATCATTTCAAAATGCTCTTTCTTGTTAATCAGCAGATTCCACTTATGATGAACCCTGATTACAACCTTTCATAATTCTTTACCGTCATTGATGTTGCATATTCTTTCAATAGGCCTTGCCATGTTAAACCGATAGGAGGGAGAAGATGCAAAAACGTTAGGGTTTGAGGCAGGTGAAGTTGTAACAGAAGTTGAGAGTATGGAAGGTTATAAGAAATTGAAGCCATGATGATTTTGAGACGGTTGAGGAAGTAGTGGAATGGACATCCGTTTGAAATCAACAAATTGATAATGAATAGGGGAGGTTGGAGAGGCTGTTAAAGGAAAGTAGAGAGGGAGGTTAGACGAGAAAATCGTAGAAGAATTTTTTAAATTGAAACATATGAAATTGAAACCCCAAATATACTATCCACGTGTTGTGTTTTTAGAAAGAAAAAAAGACAAATCAAGATTTTTAGGTAAATCCAATCTTTTTATATTATTGTTTAGGGATATCATTGTTAAAACGTTAACAATTTATTACTAAGTATTTAGAGATGTATCATACTACCAATAAATTATGTAATAATCCAAAAAGTATTTACTGTTAATGTAATTATAAGTATACAATTATTTTTAATTTTAAAAATAACAATTAATATAATTATGTACAATATAGTAAAATATTAATGTAATCCTATATTAATTCATGTGTTACAAATATTATAATATATTTATCATAAACGTTAATATATCATAATATTAATAATATTAATATATGATTATATTATTATTGTTATTAATAGATAGTAATATTATTGTTATTTTTAAAATACAACAAACTTATATATTTATAAACTTTTTAAAATTAAATTTATAAAAAATATTGGTTAACTATATGCCAAATATATTCCAACAAATATGTATTTATAATTGCAAAATTGTACAAAATAAAATGTTGGTTCAGTTGGTAAGGTAACTCGGCTTGGTGATTGCAACTTTTGATAATATTGTGTGTTTTAAATAACATTAAAATCAAAATGAATAAAAAAGATAAATTAGACCAACATGAAAATAAAAAAACAAGAAAACAAGAGACTAAGAAACTTATGCTTAACTTGTTGAATGTCTTAATTGGTTAATAAGTAATGCAAAGTCTATAAGCAAACGTATACATTGCAACTTTCGATAATATAGTGTGTTTTGAATAACATTAAAATCAAAATGAATAAAAAAAGATAAATTAGACCAACATGAAAATAAAAAAACAAGAGACTAAGAAACTTATGCTTAACTTGTTGAATGTCTTAATTGGTTAATAAGTAATGCAAAGTCTATAAGCAAACGTGTTATTTCTATTGACTTTGCAATGAATATAGACTTAATTAGAACTTTCCAAACAATTAACTACCTATGTTCATAGAAAATGTTCCTTAAACCAAGCAACTAATCATTTTAGTTCTGTGGTTTTGTTTATAATTAAAGTCAACCTTTTGGATTTATTTAATTAAAATAAGTGACTTATGCTTAACTTGTTGAGGAAAACAGATTCATGAACCCTACTTCTTAAAGGTAGGAAAGTAAGTTATATTTTATGACTTGACTTAGCAAATAATCTTTATGGAAACTTTTAGTCTACGCCAACTAACGAAACAATTACTTTAAAAGCAATGCGTACTATCGTACGGATCTCGTCTGGATTTATATTACACGTTTATTAAATTATCGTTTATAAAGTTTAAATTCATTCTTCAATTGATTAATATTCAATAATTATAAATATAGGCTAATAATATGCACAAACTTTTAAGTATTGATCCGTACTTACTATAAATCGTACAGTCGAATGTCTAACTTCAATTATATAAAATAGCTGCAAAAGAAATATTTAAAAATGAACATTAAAATGAAAAGTCTACCACTGATATCTCATAGATACGTTCATATCTACCCGTGAATCTTGATGACAATCTATAATTTATTAAATTTATTATAGATATTAGTCAATTTTTCCAAACTTAAAATGTATAACAACTCTCGGTCAAATTTCAGTTTTAAAACTTTCTTATTATATTCTAAAATTAATAAGTCTAACTATACAAAATATTCATTAATCCAAAACTTTGTTTCATTGATCGATCTTTATAAATTTTCAGTACTACTTTTCACTTCATGACATTTTCTAATAACATGTTTTCTCCCAACCAAATAATTTTGCACAATAAACACACAAGACTGCAACCTGCATACCAAAACTAGTTGAAGCAAATATGTAAACTTTTTCCTATTTATATGTGCATTGAATTTGTGTAATAATTTATAAAGTAATTTTTAATTTATTCATGTTAAAAACAATTGTTTTAATACTTCAATTTTTTTCCTTTATAAAAATATTAGTAATTTATTCTCTTTTATAAACATTATTGTAACATATTCTCGTTTATAAAACTATTGTAAATTTTTTTTTCCGTTTATAATTAAGCATTTTGAACTCGTGTGTCCATTTAGAAAAATATTTATAATTTATTCGAATTTATACAAATAATTGTATTATTACATTTATAAAATTATTTATAACTTATATTTCCGTTTATAAAAACAATTGTAACTTATTCAATTTATAAATATGACCGTATCAATAACTTTTTATCTTTTATCATTAATTTTTTATGATTATTATTTATCATTAAATTTTTATGACTACCCTTTAACATTTTTTAACATGATTACAATTATAAATTTAATTTAAAAATATTCTGATATGTTTTAGTTATTTCGTAAGTTTAAAAAATTATAAAATCTCAATTGATTTTGTTTTCTTTTTTTAACCTTTCTATAAAAAGATAAATAATTTCAAAACATATTTTATTTAAAATAAGGATCTAAATAATTATAAAATAATTTTTATTCTTATGTTTTTAGAATGATAAACTAAATATAAAATTTTGGAATAAAAAAGTTATAACTTGTAGTAAGAAACGTAATCGTAATTTTTCCAGATACTTTAGTTAAGTTGCATGATATTTCTTAAAAATACGTGATTTTTATTAATATTTCATAAAAATAACACATGATTTTTAATATTTTTTAGTAACAAAATATTATTTAAACTATAATAATACTTACTTTTAATTTTAAACAAATCACAATTTTGAAATAAAATAAAATAATATTATTCTTATTAATATTTCTTAGTAAAATATAATTTTTTAATATTTATTAATAAAAAACTTATTTTTAAAATGAAATTTGTTTTAAAATGATACAAAATTTTATCGATTTAAATCGCTCACTTTATATATTTAATTTATGGTTAATAATTACTCATTTTGAAATATTTATTTTAAAATAAATTTATTTTATGATTTTATAGTGTCTAGAGACCATTAATGAGTGCATTGTGTATAGTATAGATTCAATTGAATATCTTCTATATAAAAAAAATATATAATTTCATCTTCATATTTTACAATATATTATTTGAAAATTTCAATTATTTATTTTTAATTTATTATAAAACTATTTTTAATTCTAAATTATATAATCAATTTGATTTTTTCTTTAGTATTTTGGTTATTGTTTGAATTGATAAAACATTTTTCAAATTTTAATCACTTATTATTTTAATTTGTGAATAGATTTATCTATTGAGAAATTATGATTAATAATGAAGAATAATATTTCTAATAATATATAAATTTATTATGGTAGATATCAGTAGAGAAATAAATAAATAAAATTAAATCTAAGAATATCGAAAAATCAATTACAATATTAAACATTTATTACGGTGGATGTTATTAGGAAAATCACAAATTAGATGTAAGAATATGTTATTAGAAAAATCACAAATTAGATCTAAGAATATTGAAAGAAAGAACGAAAGAAAAGAGAGAGACCAATCATTTTTTATTGATTACTTAGTTTTTATTTTTAATAACATTTAATGATTTCCTATTTATTTTAATTAATTTAATTTGGCAATTTATTAATTGTTGTATTGTGAGTTGTGTACTGTGTATCATAAATATGTCAAATATATAATTAAGTTAATTTAAAAAGATTTTATTTTATTTTAGAAAAGGTTACTCAATTCAAAATTGAATTGATTAAGTTAATCAAAAATATTTCTTTGGATTTGGTAAAATAAATCGTAAAATTGATTAATCAATCACATAGTAAATCAGAAAAATTCAGAAGAGGTAAAAAAGAAAAAGTATCACGATATCTTCAGGTTTCTTCAACGAAGGCTTGATCTCAGGCTTAGAAGAAAAAACATAATCAAATTGACCAAATTACCATGTGTTTCTGTTTATGTAGTACTATTTCTGTTGAAAAACTCTGAGTTGCAGCGAATTAAAATTTTGATGTACCCAGTCCTTTCGGATGAAACATTTGTGAAGTGAGTGTCATCAAGAAATTCAGCCATCTATATAGTCTCGTAGTTAGACCAACAAATCCTAATCTGATGATGTGCACCCACTTTCACGTGAGTTAAGTGACAGTGCAACAACTAGAGAATCCTGCATTTCACTGTTAGCAAACAGAACATCTTCAAAACTGCCAATATTTGTATGATAGTCTCCAGTTAGAGAAATTGTAGCGATGAACTTACTGACGATCAAAAAATCTAACGGCCTGTAACACAAACAATTGAATAAAAATATTAAGCAGAAAACAAAAGAATAATGCCGTCACAATTTATAACAAATCCATTTCACTAATGTAAGCATAAAATATAAAATACTTACATCAGTTAGGGTTTTGAAAAAGAATAGAAACCCTTGCACTTGCTTAGAATCTAGCAACAGTTAAACAAACACAAAATACTCATTACAGTTAGAATCAGAACCTAAAATTACAATTAGAAGGCTTATTTCTTCTCCTTTTCATAACCCTTATTGACGGTATCACTCTTAAGCTTCAACTCAGTAAATCGCAACTCCTAAAAATATAAGCCATGAAACCAAAATCAGAAAGAGAGAGAACAGAGAAAACATGGAGAGAGGAGTGTTGAACAATGGTGAATGAAGAGAGAGACGAATCACAGAAAGGGCCACAATGGCTGTTTTAGGGTTTCAAAAAAGAGAGAGAAAAGAAGACTAGAGAGAGAACGAAAGTAAATGAAGAAATGAATGGTTGTGAAATATTTTACATGTATTAAAGTTGAAGATTAGGGTTGTCTTTTCAATTCTAACAATCAGTAGAATAATTAGTCTGATTAAAATAAAATAAAAATATATAAATAAATTATAAAATGACACCTCAATTGTATTAATTGTCAAATGCATGTGTTGATAGTAGTGTTATAAAAAACCTTTTGTACTCGTGAAATAAAATAAAATATTGAACTTAAAATCAGAAGAGTATTCGTCATTTTTTTAGATATTTTAATTTTTATAGATAAATAATAGATAGATTTGTAATATAGATTATCTTCGTGTAATAAATATTCTAGTCAAATAGAATTGTCAATAGTCAATTAATTAGAAAAATATTAGAAGTTAATATTACCCCTAACAACCAATGTAACATATAATATTGATGAATTTGTTACTTGAAGTAAATAGATGCGAACTATTGGTTTAGAATTCTATCCATGATAAAATATATTTTTTATAATGTAAAATATAAACTTGATATTTATAAATTAATAATCTTTTCAATAAAAAAATAAAAAAAACATAATTTTTCTTTTTATTTCTTATAATATAAGTTGGTAATTTTTATTGTTGATGTTGTAATCGATCTAAAGTTTGTGTTATTGCAATTACGAAATATCATGATCTGTTTTAGATAGAAGAATGATTACATTTTTGTTCTTTAGAAAATTTATTTTGTTGAATTGAACTGTAAGAATGTTATATATAAATTATTTTTAATATTAATTTTCAAATAATATGAGATTATTTTAATCCGTTCGAACCTTTGCTTTCATTTGAAACTAAAGGCAACAGTTTGAACTTCGTGTTTCCACAAACAACATTAATATTTTCATCGATCTCAAATATGTATCATTGTAATTATGAGATATTATCTATTTTAAGTGTAAAAATCATCATAACTTTATTCTTTAAGAAAAGAATCAATTGGATTGAGATGTATGAATATTATTTATAAATTATTGTAATATCAACTCTTAAGTAATATAAAATTATTTTGGCGACCTGGAATAGTTGAATATGGTGAAGATTACAATTTACATATACCATATGTCATGAATCATTAATGAATCACAATTAAATTATTTTGGCAACCAAAATAGTTGAATATGGTGAATACTTGATTACCACTGGAACTAAAAATGAGTTGGGTCGAGTCGAATTTACCTCAGTTCGACTCGATTTGTTAAGAATTTATTTAGCTTAAATATCGGTTTGTGTTTGTTACAAACTTTTTTTCCAACTCAAATTCCACTTGTTAGAAGTTCACAAATAACTCGGTTCATCTCATTAGGTTTAACTCGTTTATTTTACGGACTTAAAAATTATTTTTTAAAATCTATTTTATTTATTTATGATATTTTAAATTGATATGTTTTTTAAATAAAAAATATAGATATAAAATAAATTTGGAATTTATACTATGTGGATTTTATTTGTATAGTTGTTTTTAGAAATGCTTTACTCACTTAAAAATATAAATTATCAATTAAAACCGTTAGATTAAAATAAAATATATGTCTAAGATTTAGAGCAAATTTTTAAACCTACTCTTAAAGATAATATATTTCATCTCATATATAATCGAGTTATGAACCTAACGAGTCGTACTATGTATAGTTCAAGTTCAACTCGTTTAGTTAACGAACTTAGTTTTTAGCTCATATTCAGCTCATTTGGTTCATGAAACTAGTTCCACAATTTAAATGTCGAATCAAGTTTCAAACTATTTTTAAGTTGGTTCGGTTCATCGCCAACCCTAATTACCACCTTTTTTTTGGCTAACCATAAACAAGAGATCGCTACAATCCACACAAAAGTGCAGCTTTTTCTTTCCTCCCACAACATCTATGGTATTAATAATGTCCGTGATTGGAGTATGAATGTGTCATACCCCAAAAATTTTCTTAAGACAACAATATTTAACTTTTCCTCTTTTTATCATTTTTGTTGAATTTCAATGACTTTAGTTATTAAATTAGTTTTTGGTATCACTACGCCAAAAATAAGTTTTAGCAGCACACATACGAAAGCGCTTTTAGGAAAAAGCGCTGCTGTAGGTTTTAAAAAAAATCCGCTTAAAAAAAGCGCTTTCAAAGGGTGCCTTAAGAAAGCGCTTTTCAAAAGCGCTGCTAAAGGTCACCCTTAGAAAGCGCTTTTTGAGAAGCGCTGCTAAAGGGTGCCTTTCAGAGAGTACCTTAAGAAAGCGCTATTCAAAAGCGCTGCTAAAGGTTAGCCTTAGAAAGCACTTTTACAAAGCGCTGCTAAAGCTGGCCTTTAGAAAACGCTTTTAAAAGCGCTGCTATAGGATATGCTACGAAAGCGCTTTTACATTAAAAAGCGCTGTTATAGGTTACCTTTAGAAAGTGCTTTTAAAAGCGCTTTCGTAGGTAGTTTTATAATAAATGTCAAAATTTCGTATCATCACTTTTCTATTGTTCTTCACGAAATCATCAAAGCCCTAAACCAGAGCTCTGCCGCCGTTAGCATCTACGAGCAGATTTTCGTCACGATCACCACTTGCCACTTTTCTATTCGTCATCAGGATCTCTGCCTCCGTCTTCTTGTTCAGGACCACCGGGGCTGTTTCAGGACTTCTTCATCAGGACCTCCGCCTCCGTTCATCAGTACTCTTTCATCAGAACAACGACCACCACTTGCCACAGGAGAAACGCAAGGTGAAATCACAAAGTTTGCTGCATCAGAAATCACAATAATATACAACACAAAGTTACACAACTCAGCTCTAGGTATTTCAATTTCTAGTATAGTTTTGTATGAATAAATTGTTCTATGCTTGCTTTGATTCTAATTTCTAGAATAGTTTTGTATGAATAAAGATGTTACTATCTTCTAATAATTCTTAGAAATTGTTACATATTTGAACTGACAACTCATCTTAATTTTCAACTTATTTGTGTGGCTACTGGCTAATACCTCACATATTAGTTAATATCATTTTTTTATATTTCAGATTCAAAAATAAAAATATAAAGTGAAATGTTCACCTTGGTTAAAATGGTTTCTCTCTACCTCATCTTGAAATTTACTTCATATGCTTCATCTCACTGCAAGTATTCAGGTCTGGGAAAAATACAAAACACATAAATCAAAAGGAAATCAAAGAGAGAAAGATATAGTTTTATATTATTAAGAGTTCAAGATATTTCACCTCCTGTAAGATGAAAGAAGTTATTAGAAATCACAGAACAAATATAAAACCTAAAGATTAAAGATCACAAAACTAAACACAGAGATAGAAACAAAGAAATATGAAAAAATATACACGAATTTTAAAAGAGTTAAGATATAAAATTTAACCTTGAGTGGAATGGTGGTAGTGAACTTAGGAGATAGAGAGACATTCAAGATCAAAGATGGTGGCAGTGAACAAAACCAACAAACATAGGTTATTGTGAGATGGATGTGTTTCTAGGGTTAGAAATAAGGATTAAGGTTGAAACATATATAGAATTCAAAATCTAAATTGGGTTGGGTTGTATGAACTAGACTAGGTTGGGATTAGATTGGATCTGTCAGTTTCATATATCTAATAAGAAATTTCAAATTTGAAATATCTAAAAAGGAAAATAGATTATTTTTACAACTTTTATGGAATAAATATTAGTAGAAAACAACACATTTTCATGTGCTTTTTATTTTATCAGACATCATTTATATTAACAAGTTGTGCATTGGTAAAACAAGCTAAGAGAGAAATAATAGAGAGCGTAACAAAATATTTAATAAAGGTAGCCATATTATATATATATATATATATATATATATATATATATATATATATATATATATATATATATATATATATATATATATATATATATATATATATATATATATATATATATATATATATATATATATATATATATATATTGTTAACTCTATTAATATATTGTTTTTTTCGTGTGCTTTTTATGATTGATTTTGAGCAATGATAGTTTCTTGTTTATGGTTTCTTGTGTTATACTTGTGTACTAAAGTAGTTGATAGAATAAAATGAATTTAGTGAAAAGTATTGAGTATTAGTTTTGTTATATGGTTGTGCAAGAGCAAGTGCAAGTTTTGAGTATTGGTTTTGTTTTCTAATTTATCATTTAGCTCAGATTGACTCAGAAACCGTAAACCATGGATAAGACATGGATGTATTCCAATCGATTGTCGAAAGAGTACGAGAACGGGGTATCGGAATTCGTTAAGTTTGATGTTGCGCATGCCGAAGACCCCGGTCGAATGACATGTCCTTGTTTGTGTTGCTTTTATGGGAATCGGGTTGACGCAGTTCAGTTGGCATCGCATTTAATACGGTATGGAATTGATAGAAGTTATACATGTTGGAATATGCATGGTGAGAAAAGTGACGGGAATGATGAATCGGGGGATAATAGGACCTATGCTTCAAACGACAATGGCACAGATACATACAATTATGATCGAGTTAAAGAGATTGCAGAAGCTCTTGAAGAAGATCTTAATGATTGTCCCAAAATGTTTGAGAGGTTGGTAAGCGATGCAGAGAAACCGTTGTATAATGGTTGTATAAAATTCACAAGATTGTCTGCGGTATTAAAGTTGTACAACTTAAAGGCGGGCAATGGATGGTCGGATAAAAGTTTCACAGAGTTATTAGCCCTTATGAAAGATATGCTACCAGAGGATAATGTTCTCCCTAATCGAACGTATGAGGCCAAAAAGATGTTGTACTCTATTGGCATGAGCTATGACAAGATACATGCCTGTCCAAAAGATTGCGTTTTCTTTCGAAACGAGTATGCATCATTAAATGAGTATCCTAAATGCGGTGCCCCTCGATATAAGAAAAAGTTGTCTCCGACAAAAGTCTTATGGTATTTTCCTATAATTCCGAGATTTAGACGGATGTATCGTAGTGAAACCGATTCAAGACACTTAACTTGGCATGCAAATGAAAGAATTGTTGATGGAAAGTTTCGACATCCAGCAGATTCACCACAGTGGATGAAAATTGATAATGATTATCCTGAATTTGGAAAAGAAGCAAGAAACCTTTGCTTGGCATTGTCTACTGATGGAATGAACCCACACGGTATTCAAAGTATCTCGCATAGCACATGGCCTGTGATTCTTATGATTTATAACCTACCTCCGTGGCTATGTATGAAGCGTAAGTACATGATGTTATCTATGTTAATTTCTGGGCCTAAACAACCAGGAAATGACATATACGTATATTTGGAACCTTTAATCGAAGATTTGAAGATTTTATGGGAGAACGGTGTGGAGGTTTATGATGGGTATAGGAAAGAAAGTTTCAACTTGAGGGCGATGTTGTTTGGAACAATTAACGATTTTCCAGCCTACGGAAATCTATTCGGGTATAGCATTAAAGGTGAAAAAGCGTATCCTATCTGTGAAGATGGAACCGATACGATGCGATTGAAACTTTGTCAGAAGAATGTCTTTCTCGGTCATCGTAGATTCTTAAATTCTAAACATCAATATCGTGGATGGAGAAAAGCGTTCAACGGAGATACCGAACAACGTAGAGCTCCGCCTGGATTGACAGGTCATCAATTATTTGAAAAGGTGAAAGATGTGAGTATTCAGTTTGGCAAGCCTTTTGCACATAAAGTTGTTACAGGTGGGTGGAAGAAGAGGTCGATTTTTTTTGAATTGCCATATTGGAAATCTTTGTACGTAAGACATTTTCTTGATGTTATGCATATTGAAAAAAAATGTATTTGACAGTGTTATTGGTACGTTACTCAATATAAAA